CCTACCCTAACCTAACCTAACCTAACCTAACCTAACTAACCCTACCCTATCCTATCCTACCCTACCCTACTCTACCCTACCCTACCCTACCCTACCCTACCCTACCCTACCCTACCCTACCCTACCCTACCCTGCCCTGCCCTGCCCTGCCCTACCCTACTCAACATTATCCTACCTTTCCTTTCCTTACCCTACCCTACCCTATCCTACCATACCCTACCCTACCCTACCCTACCCTACCCTACCCTACCCTACCCTACCCTACCCTACACTACACTACACTACACTACACTACACTACACTACACTACCCTACCCAACCCTACCCTACCCTGCCCTGCCCTGCCCTACCCTACCCAACCTTACCCTACCTTTCCTTTCCTTACCCTACCCTACCCTACCCTACCCTAACCTATCCTACCTTACCTTACCTTACCTTACCTTACCTTACCTTACCTTACCTTACCTTACCTTACCTTACCTTACCTTACCTTACCTTACCTTACCTTACCTTACCTTACCTTACCTTACCTTACCTTACCTTACCTTACCTTACCTTACCTTACCTTACCTTACCTTACCTTACCTTACCTTACCTTACCTTACCTTACCTTACCTTACCTTACCTTACCTTACCTTACCTTACCTTACCTTACCTTACCTTACCTTACCTTACCAATACCTTACCAATACCTTACCTTACCTTACCCTACCCTACCCTACCCAGCCTTGCCTTGCCCTGCTCAACTCCACTAGTTCATCATTTATCGACTCACCATTAATATACGTGTTTGTGTGTCGTTGCGTGTATGTATATATATATATATATATATATATATATATATATATATATATATATATATATATATATATATATATATATATATATATATATATATACAATGCAAGAGTATATATATATATTCTTGCATTGTAAAATACGATGAGCTATTATTGTTCCATTCAGTTACCGGGTATTTATCATCTATCATCTTTAGACACAATTGCCCATTCCTCAATCATTGATATGATTGGATTTAGAACGGTTTTATCTGGCCACTCCCGTGGGTTTTCTCTTGTTTTCCTTTCTTTTGTACACATACAGCTTTAATGCATAACTAATTACTTTATTTATGCCAAATCGATACGTGAAGGGGGTGATGTGACCTAGATATGAGAGGTTTTGAGAGCACATTAGGTTTTTCTGTGCAAGGGAGAGAATTAGGTTTGTGGGGACAATTAAGTTACTTGAATGGCTTCTTGTGGGATATGTGGGTGGTATTAGATGTTATCATTTATATTGTATAAATATATTGTATTTAAAATAACATCAGTTTTACAAATTTAGTAAACATTAGTGTAAGATTAAATTATTTGTAAATATAGTCGATATAAAGTTATTAAATATAAATAATTACCTCCCTTAGATATTGAACTTGGAGTTGCCGCTACTTGATACGAGAAAGCTTGTTACTTTTGATTTATTCAATTTTCTCAACGAAATTAATAAAATGTATTAGAAAATATGATTTTGCTAATGTATTATTGTAAAACAGAACAAAATAACATTAAGTCAAGTCATCATTATCATCACCCTGCTGGGGTATGGGCCTCCAACTGAGTCCTCCGTCCCATGCCATTTTCTCAACCTGACTCCAGGTGAAGCCTTTTTATTTGTAGTTTCAGCTTTTAGGTCCCGTCGCCAGGTGTTTCTTGGCCGACCTCTTCTGCGCTTCCCTTGAGGGTTCCATCTGTCTGGTGATATTGGTTCGCGATCTACGCAGTGTATGCCTCATCTTCTTTTCCTAATTTCTTCTTCAGCGGCAATTCGTCCTGGCTTTTCCCGTAGGTGTGTATTGTTGATGGTGTCATGCGAGCGACCTAAGTATTTTTTCTGAGACAGCTGTTGAAAAAGGTCTGGACTTTATCAATTGTTGTCTTTGTTTTAGTCAAGTCTAGCTTTGTTTATGTTTGATCACTTGTCTATTATAGTCAATAAGTCATGGCGTTTGCCGTCATTAAGTGGAAACTTGAAACGAAATTACACGAACATAAAATACCAAACCGATTTGTTAATTATTTCGCATGTCAAAATTCGACGACTATGCTATCTGTAACTAAAATCAGTATAATTGGATAATTTTGTTTAAAAATGACGTTTATGATAACGAAATAACAATAAATAAAATATTTGTGTATGTCGCTTTGAAATTTTAGTAAAGGTCGAAATTTTGTTTATAAAAAAAGATTGTTACTCGATCAAACAAAAGCTGGCACATTTTTTAATTATTTTAATTAACGTATTGCTACGATACCACTAACATGGGAATCTTGCAATTATTTTCCATTCATTGACTGTGACTGTAATTGACTGTAGAGCTTTCCTGAGTCCACCCAACTCTGATGGGGAATATGACTCATTAGGGAAAAGTAAAGGCGAGATAAAAAAACATATGAACTCTACTTCATCTGCTTTATGGATCGCAAGGTCTAAATAAGAATCTTTACTTTTTTTTAAAAAATCCATTTATTAATTAATAAGTGAATATGCTTGTAGCGCACTACTTGCAAATTATTTTTTTTTATACCAAGGGAAATAACTAATAAAAACATTTTATATTTTAAAAAACCATGAGTATCATCCCTTATTAGTAAACCTGGTAGTAAAATAATTTTTAAAAACTCACCAATACGAAAATATGCAGCGTTTAAAAATGTAACAACCTTTTTAATTTTAGCCACCCTTTTTAAACTGAAATTACAATTTTTAAAAATACAGGCTTTACCCAAAGTAAAAAGAAAGAAACATCTCTTATAGACATTACGTATTTTGACGATAGATTTTACTCCTCTTCTTCCCCGACATCATACCTTCCCCCCCCCCCCCCCCTCTCTCTCTCTTCTCTTTCTATCTTTCTACTCACCTTCCTCTCTTCCCCTCCCTCAAATGACGTTGATACCCATTTTTTTTTTTTTAAAAAAAAAAGGAAATATAACCAGGTTTGGATTGACTTTGATGAAAATATTTATTGAGTTGCTTCCCTTAGACCGTAAAAATGCTGTAATTCATTTTTTTATTTATCAAAGGGAGATAATTACTGAATTGCTGAATATTGAACATATTTATTTGATGGTATCCCTTTGCTTATTTAAATGTTTAAGTAAGTTGAAATCATAAATAAAATTTTCCAAATAGTTTTTATTCCAGACTTTTTGCTCGGGGGAGGGGTGGGGGCACAAAATATTCACTCGATTTTTTATAACAGTTAACTTAAAAAATGTTTTAGATATTCAATAAACTTTTTTCTTTGGTAAACCAGTGACGTCGCTAGGTCGGGTATCACCAAATGCGAGGCCTCATGGCACCACCCCTCCCCCGTATATATATATATATATATATATATATATATATATATATATATATATATATATATATATATATATATATAAGCCTATATATATAGTTGCCATTGGTGTCAACCTCTCATATATTGCTTAATGGCGTTAATTTTGCGCGCATTATATTAATCGACCAATTCATGTATGTGGAAAAAGCATCGTTTCATCGTATTATTAGATTTCGGTGTCATCCCCTCCCCAATCCTCTGCAGAGTTTGTAGTTGGTGTTACACTCCCCTCTCCCCCATCCATCGGGTGCTAATTTTAAAGTGTGCACAGTTAATAGTAAAGATGTTTATCTATAGTCAGTTTTTAAACTCGGTGGATTAATTATAATTAATCATTAATTGAACTGGCAATTTTTTTTGCAATTTTTGCCATTGTGTCACCCCCCCCCCCCCTCCCAATGGTGTCTTCCGGTGCGGTCCGCACCCACCGCTCCCCGCCTCACGACGCCTCTGGATATAACCTATGTCTGACAGACCTAGTGATCATCCATAGATTGTCACCACCCTAAAGATTACGTCATTCCCCGCCCACCAGATTTTATTTTGTTCCAAGACGCAGCAAACTTTTTTAGTTTTCCTGTGATCGAATTATAAATTTTTTTTTTTTAATTTGTGAAAAGTTAAAAAAGTGGTTGAAGTGGTGGTTGGAGAAGTGGTGGTGGGTGTAGTGGATGTGGTAGCGGTTGTGGTGTGAAAAGTAGTTGTTGGAGAAGTGGTGATATGTGAAGTGGCTGTGTGTAAAGGGTGTGTGGGAGAAGTTCTCGTGGGTGAAGTGGATGTAGGTAAAGTGGATGTAGGTAAAGTGGATGTGGGTAAAGTGGATGTAGGTAAAGTGGATGTGGGTGAAGTGGATGTGGGTGAAGTAGATGTGGGTTAAGTGGTTGGGGGTGAAGTGGATGTGGGAGAAGTGGATGTGGGTAAAGTGGATGTGGGTAAAGTGGATGTGGGTGAAGTGGTTGGGGGGTGAAGTGGTTGGGGGTGAAGTGGATGTGGATGTGGGAGAAGTGGATGTGGGTAAAGTGGATGTGGGTTAAGTGGTTGAGGGTGAAAGTGGATGTGGGAGAAGTGGATTTGGTAAAGTGGATGTGGGTAAAGTGGATGTGGGTAAAGCGGATGTGGGTAAAGTGGATGTGGGTAAAGTGGATGTGGGAGAAGTGGATGTGGGTAAAGTGGATGTGGGTAAAGTGGATGTAGGCTAAGTGGTTGAGGGTGAAAGTGGATGTGGGAGAAGTGGATGTGGTAAAGTGGATGTGGGTAAAGTGGATGTGGGTAAAGTGGATGTGGGTAAAGTGGATGTGGCTACGGGTAAAGTGGGTGTGGGTGAAGTAGATGTGGGTATATTTCCTTGGGCGTGTATAAAATATGCGGGTCGGTGGTAAGAGACGGGTGCTACACGCCCTAACCTGCACCTACATCCACCCACCCCTAGAAAGAAACAAAGATTTAGAAAAAAAACTGAGAGCCTCTACCTTCTTGTATGCCCCGCTTCCCCCATCCCCACCCGCCCCGTTGCAAAAAAAAAAAAAAAAAAAAAAAACTACACAGAAATCACAACACTGCTAAGCCGTGTGTTTGTTTACATCTCTTCCTTTATTTGACCTGACTATGACAAGACACACACACCCAAGACGTAACACATCCGGTCACGTGGGTCTGGGGATGAACTGTATTCTCAGGGGTCTGTCGATGGTGGGGAAGATCTGGTAGGTGATGTTGATGTCTTTAGGGTCGTCTATCAGGCGGAGCTCGTACTTCTGTACAAGCTGTGAAGGCAATGTTTCTGGTGTCAGGTATTCATTTATTAATTTCATGTTTTCTAAATCAGATGGTACTTAAATTAGTAGTATTTTTTCACTCCAATCATTCGTTCAGATTCCAGATAAATTTGACTTCGAGCTATTGTTATATTTCTTAACTAAACAAAAATGTACCTGTAAAACGAAAGTTTAACCACGAAAAGTTTAACTTCATCTAACAATGTTTACTTGTCCATAACCAAACAATATTTACCTTATGCTAAATTATTTACCTCAACCAAACAATATTTACCTTAACTAAACAATATTTACTTTAGCCAAACCAGTGGCGTAGCCAGGATCGTCTCAAGGGGGGTTCCAATTTTTACCCGGGGACAAATTTTCGATTTGCACCCCCCCCCCCTCAAACTTTCGATTTGCACCCCCCTCATACTTTTTCTATATACCGAGGGGTCTATGGGGGGGGGGGGGTTATGACCCCCTAACCCCCCCCCCTGCCTACGCCACTGAGCCAAACAATATTTACCTTAACCAGACAGAGTCGCATGATCTGTTCAGCAAATCTCTTTCCCAGACACATCCGTACACCAATTCCTAAAAAAATAATTTTTTGATTCAGGCGTGGACTTAGGCTAATAATTGAAGAAAAACACTTGGGTGATGATCAATATTTTGTTACTTTATTTTTCTTAAAAGTTATGTTAGTAGGCCATACTGAAGTTTTTTTTTAATTTATTTCAACCGCCAGTGTTAGGTAACCGTAGAAATTTTACGTTTATAATAATTCTAGAGTTATCTTTCTTAGAATCGGACTATTTCCTATTGTGTCTGTGTTTAGAAAGTTTCCAAAATCTTGCTATATAGGGCCTACAAAAGAAACGTTTTATTTTCTCATTATATTTCTAAAATGAATTGAACAAAAATTGTTGATCCTTCGATATCCTTATTTTCTTAGATTGTAAAAAAATACAATTTTAATCGGAAAAGTTGAACATGTATTCCTAACAATGTAATTCGGCGCTACATTTTTAAGTAGGGCCTACTGCAAAAAATAAAGGAAATAAGGTATTTTTTTTATTTTTAAAATATGTATCTCATTTTATTTAAAATATCGCATCGTATTTTTTAAAATAAGAGATTAAAAAATAAATGTTTTATGAAAAAAAAAAGTATGTCTGACCAAACGGCAAATAGCAGACGGTTGGGATTGTTTCATTCTTCATCCGGTCTCTGTTCCTGAGCCAGCGCTCGGGTCTGAAGCCGTCTGGGTCATGTACAAGGGCGGGGTCGTGTAGGCAGGCGGTGTTACATAACATCACCAGAGTCTAGGTAAAAAAATATGAGAAGTTGTGTAAACTGTTTTGGTTAACGGACAACTTAGATGGACCACTTAGCTAGATGGTCATGGACCACTTAGCTAGCAGGTCATGGACCACTTAGCTAGCAGGTCATGGACCACTTAGCAAGCAAGTCATGGACCACTTAGCTAGCAGGTCATGGACCACTTAGCTAGCAGGTCATGGACCACTTAGCTAGCAGGTCATGGACCACTTAGCTAGCAGGTCATGGACCACTTAGCTAGCAGGTCATGGACCACTTAGCTAGCAGGTCATGGACCACTTAGCTAGCAGGTCATGGACCACTTAGCTAGCAGGTCATGGACCACTTAGCTAGCAGGTCACGGACCACTTTGCTGGCAGGTCACGGACCACTTAGCTAGCAGGTCATGGACCACTTAGCTAGCAGGTCATGGACCACTTAGCTAGCAGGTCATGGACCACTTAGCTAGCAGGTCATGGACCACTTAGCTAGCAGGTCATGGACCACTTAGCTAGCAGGTCATGGACCACTTAGCTAGCAGGTCATGGACCACTTAGCTAGCAGGTCATGGACCACTTAGCTAGCAGGTCATGGACCACTTAACTAGCAGGTCACGGACCACTTAGCTTGTTTAAATTTTCACATACAGAAATGTTGTGTAGCTAACATTAAAAATGTTTTAATACAGTCGCGTTGTGCTTATTGTTAGGAGACCCAACTTGTCGTCCCTTATAAGGGACGCAACCACCTCCCGCTTTTCGGGGATACACTAACATCATTTTAATTCCCCCACATAATCACCTTTTGCGTGCCACCTACTCAATCCGTTTAATGTCTCCACTTCTCCACCCTTTTTAATGTCCCAGCGTACCCTTTTATGTAAAACGTAAAACCCTACTGATGTACCCATTTATCATTTAATTTCCCCATTTACCTACCCATCCTTTTAATGCCTTTTTTTACCCACATTTTTAATGTCCCTCACATACCCACCTTAAATGTTTTCACGTAAAACTCTTTTAATGTCCCCATTTATCCCTATTTTAATGTCCCCATTTACCCCCCACACCCGTTAATGTCCCCATTTACCCCCCCCCCCCCGTTAAAGTCCCCATTTAACCACACTTTAATGTCCCCATTTACCCCCCCCCCCGTTAAAGTCCCCATTTAACCACACTTTAATGTCCCCATTTACCCCCCCCCCGTTAAAGTCCCCATTTAACCACACTTTAATGTCCCCATTTAGCCACACTTTAATGTCCCCATTTACCCCCCCCCCCCCCCCGTTAAAGTCCCCATTTAACCACACTTTAATGTCCCCATTTACCCCCCCCCCCCCGTTAAAGTCCCCATTTAACCACACTTTAATGTCCCCATTTACCCCCCCCCCCGTTAAAGTCCCCATTTAACCACACTTTAATGTCCCCATTTAGCCACACTTTAATGTCCCCATTTACCCCCCCCCCCCGTTAAAGTCCCCATTTAACCACACTTTAATGTCCCCATTTACCCCCCCCCCCCCCGTTAAAGTCCCCATTTAACCACACTTTAATGTCCCCATTTAGCCACACTTTAATGTCCCCATTTACCCCCCCCCCCCCCCCCCGTTAAAGTCCCCATTTAACCACACTTTAATGTCCCCATTTAACCACACTTTAATGTCCCCATTTAACCACACTTTAATGTCCCCATTTAACCACACTTTAATGTCCCCACGTACAATTTAATGTCCCCATTAACCCCCCCCCTTAATGTCCCCATTTACCCCCCCAACCCCCCCCCCCCCCAGCTCCCCACCTACTCACCCCTTTCGGCACTCTGTACCCAGACAGCACCAGATCCTGTGGGATGACTCGTGCAGGCCCGGGGGCCAGGGGGAAAGCTAGCCTGGAAAACAAAAACGAATTTCTTTAAAAATGTCCCACCACGTCACAAAACTTTCAAACTTTGAAAACAGCCTTGAATCGATCATCGATTGAAAGGTGTTTCAAAAATGTTTTGTTCTGAAAATTGACCTTGCTGATGTAAGAAATTGATATATTGAATCAAATAGGTTTATTAGGGAGGGGTGTGGCTATTTAGAGTGATATCAGTGTTTCTTTCAGGTATCTCTTCGCCCCCACTCCATCCTCCCCCCCCCCCAATCCCCCCCCTCCCAAAGCTATTATATCGCCTCCGCCCCGCTCCCCCCCCCCTCCGAATAAAATTGAATTGATATAGAAAATGTTTACTTTTGTCAGCCTCTGCCCCCCCCCCCCCACCCCACACCGGAAAATTTAGTCCGACCCCCTGAAACAAGTCTGAAAGAAACACTAGATTGAATGTTTTAAAGAAACAGACTCAGTTTTCTATACAGCTGCTTTTGACAGAAGGGTGGGGGGGGGGGGGGGGTAATTTAGTGAAATAATTTTATGAGATTTAAACTGTTTTAACGATATATGGAGAAACTGTATAAATGGGGGGGGGAGGTTTGCGAGGGTCTAAGTTTGTATTGACAAAAGTCACGTGATCTTACCAATGAACAACAACTTCTTAAGACCTTGCTACGACAGTAAATCAATGACGTTGGGGGAGGAAGGGGGGGGGGGTATTTTTTTCAGGTCATTATAAAGTTATCAATTAGATATCGAAAGGTTAAGTTAACCCTTTTGAACCCAGCGGTCCATCGGGCAGACGAAGTAGAGTTCAGCTTTGACCTCGGCATATGAAGGGATGGTGTGGTCAGCAGTATGGCCAGTCGCTTTTAATGCGTGCCAGGTACCTATTAGAGCTGGGTAGACTCAGACGAAAACTCGAGCCCGGGATCCGAACTTGAGACTTAGGGCTAGAAGTCGTGCGTTCTACTGTCCGACCACACCATCCTATGTTATTAGCAATACTACACGGAATAAGTTGACATGGTATCTTAACCCTTGCTCCCCTGTACTTATATTATGCCTTAATCCTAGCTCTCCTATACTTATGTTAACCGTTGCTTTTCTAAACTTATCTTAACCCTTTCTCTCCTATTATATTAATCCTATACTTAACTCTTGCTCTCCTAACGTCATTTAACCTGCATTATCCTGAAACTTTAAAAAAAATTCCTTTCCACATATATTCTTTCTACACGTGACCAGATATTCTCCATCGCCCAGGGGGTTGTCAATAAATGGCGTCACGCGGTTTCCGATGAATTTTATAACCCTCCCCCCCCCCCATCCCCATCCCCAACCTTTAACATCACATAAATGTTACAACATCTTGACGACTACTCAAAAAGCCAACAGTAACTGTACCAAAGGGTAACATGTGTTTCATCATTCTATTTTCTTTATAAAAACAATACCAAATTTCGCCACGTGAATTTTTTTCTTTGGTATATTTCCTCTCACATAACAAATACCAGAACTATCTACACGTACAGAGTTTCTTTCAGGCATCTCTTCGCACCCCCTCTCCCCCACCCACGAACGAAATAGTCTTGTATACAAAAAATATAAACTACAATTAATTTAAGTCCGTCCCCTCCGTCACCTCCACCCCTCCCCCGGAAGAGACCCCCCCTCGGGAAATTTTTTTATCTGAAACAAACACTGCGCACTCCATTTGATGGATGCCATTTATAGACCCCCCCCCCCCCTAACCTCATAGACTCCTTGACACACGCGTTCATGAACTCCATCTTGGCCAGGTCACGTGGTGTGACTAGAATGTTGGAGCCGATGCTGGCTTTGATCTCCTGGTACAGCATCTCCTGTTGGTCCGTGTACTTGGCCATGTGGAACAGCAACATGCCCAGATTTTTCGATGTCTGTAGTTGAACCAAATTTGAATTAGTATTAAATAAAAAAGGACGAATAAAAAGGAGTAATATGTGGGCCAATGTATAAAAAAACTGTATAGTAACACGTTTTTATTGCAATAAAATCTGAGGATAGGTATAAATTGTAAATTTTCCTTAGTTTTAATACAGAGTTTGAGTTGGTTGGTAAAATATAATTTTTAAAAAGACGTGACTTAAGAAACATATGTGTTGGCCTATCTGTAACGATTTTTAAAAATTGTAATAGACAGAATTACATAGTGTTTTTAAATGTCGTTTAAGATGCTAAAAAAAAAGGCAATTTATGGGGTTCAAATTTACTTATTAAAATTTTAAAGCGCGACGTCACACTTTCTGGCACAATCCTCTTCTTCATCCCACAAAAGTCCGACCCCCCCCCCTACGAATGTGACGTCATTTATATAACGGTACCTTAGAATACTACATACTACTATTTCTTAAATTTGTACATGTTATGATACCTCATGGAACGTCTAGAAACTCATAACATCTCCAAATATCTCATGAGATCTCTTGTCTCTATCTCATATCTTTCTTCCCCTTTGAATGATCTCTGTGTACGTGACTGATCCACCTATTATTTAACTATTCTAAATCCCCACAATGCAACGCGGTTAAGTTTAGAACCATTCTTACGGTATCCGCTCCCCCGAAAAAGAAATCGCTCATGGAGCGGACTACTTCCTCGGGCGTAAGATCCGTCTGTGTGAGGAGGCTCTCGATCAAGTGGGGCGAATCCGGATCTCGCTTCTGATTGGCTGATAACCGCTCGAAAGCGAGTTTCACTTCTGATTGGGCCAATCTTTAAAAAATAGAAATCAGAAACTTTGGTAAACAAATTTGATTTAGGTTTTTGTGTAGAATTTTACGAAATTGGTGAACTTTTAGTAGCAAACTTCTGAAAGACAGTGCATTGAGATAAATTATTTGGATACAAAAATGTAAAACACTTAATATATGATTTTTGTTTCAACTTCTATTCATTTCTAAAGCCTTTCATTTGCATTTTGTTTATTATCATCCCCTTGTACCCGCCCTTTTTGAGCTTACCGACGTCATTTCATACGAGTTCTGGATTTTTGTGGCCTAATTTACGGACGATGGCTAATCCTAAACCGATTATAAAAGATTTTATAAATTACATTCTAGTTGATAGTGTTATCTATTCCATATATATCCTAGTAATTTAATTTCTGCCATGACGCTATCGACACCGTAATCAAGAACCAACAGACTTTAATCAAGAAGTAAAACACCCGATCAGATGATTAAAAAAAAACCCACCGCATAAAATGTTTTTTTAAAAAAAAACCACCCAGTCAACTGATTTTAAAAACCCACACAATAAATTTAGTTAAAAACCCACCAGGCAAATGATTGAAAACCCCACTTGATTGGATGATTTTAAAAAACATTTTATCAGAGGATTAAAAAAAAAAACACCCGATTAAGAGGATTCTCAAACCCACCCGATTTAAAGGAAAACTCCATTTGATCAGCTGATTTAAAATGCCACTAAAGCTAATTATTTTTAAAAAAACACCCTATTTCAAATCGCTCCGAATCCTATCCAATCACTGATTCAAAAACCCACTTGATCTGATAATTCAAAAACCCACCCGGTCTGATGATTTTAAGAAAACCACCATATGGGATTATTCAAAAACCCACCCTATCAGATGATCAGGAAAACCACCCGATAAAATATTTTAAAGACCCTATCAAATTATTCAAAAACCCACCCACACAATGATAAGAAAACCCACCCAACCAGTGATTAGTAAACCCATCTAATATATGATTAGAAAACCCACCCAATTTTCGATAAGAAATTAAGAAAACTTACCCAATCTATGATAAGAAAACCCACCCACCCAATGATTAGAAAACCCACCCAATATATGCTAAGAAAAAGCCACCCTTAACTATTAAAAAACCCACCCACCCAATGATTAGAAAACCCACCCAATATATGATTTTAAAAAACACCCACCCAAAGATTAGAAAACCCACCAAATATATGATTTAAAAAACCCACCCAACCAATGGATAGAAAACCCACCCAATGAGATGGTTCATGCTATTCTCCACATTTGTGTACGCCTTTGTTTTCCACAGCCGGTGGAGCTTGATGACGGGCGGCCTGGCCAAGGTGGAGATGAGCGCCCTCATTTGGGTGACTGTTTCGTTGTTCTCCTCGGCCCCGTGGGGCGTCAGCGCCCCGAGCCGCCGGTTAAAACAGAACTGAAAGAGACCTTCCCATTGCAAAATGAAATGTATTTTATTTGGTTGGAAAGGACCTTCGCTTTAAAATACTTAATATGTCTTTCAATTTCGAAAGACTATTTTTTTCTTTGTTTTCTTTAAATTAACTTTAACGTTAAAAAGATATCAGTTTATTTGTTTTGGTATGAAGGAATTTTACATTGTTAGGTTTACCTTAACATTAAAATTTAATTATTTTTATTTATTTATTTATTTATTTTATCTTTTTTATGTTTTTTTGCGAAGAGCTTAAATTTCTTTAAACTAATTGCTTTTTTTTTTTTTTTTTTTTGAAGAACGTGAAGTAGAACTAGAATTACAATTGATTATATTTTTACCGCTTTAAAGCTAGTGTTAAGTATAGAATACGTAGACACGTGTGTGTAAAACAATTCTCGCACTAGAAGTGTTGAGATAAATACAAGAGCTCTCACATTCAAGGATGTAGAGAAATATCACATCGCGTGCGTCGCCCTGGCTGTGTCCTCGCTCGAAATAGGTCACCAGGTCATCGGTCACTAGGCCAAGGTCAGGAACGTAAGGGTCAGCGGAACCTGGTCTCAGAAAACTGGTCTGGACTTTCATGCGCAGGTGGTACCACTCGTCCCCGTCCCTGGGGAAACAAACAGTTGACCGTGTTAGGTACAGTAGGGAACTTTGGGTCCGGTGCTGAATGTACGAACAGACTCATTGGCTAAGACTGCTCATAGACAAATGGGGAACAGAAAGATAAACATAGGGCAAGAGACTTAGATACTCAGACATAAGACAAGAGAGTTATACATAGTACAAGAGACTTATATGACTATAGAGCAAGAGACTTATATAACTATAGGGCAAGAGACTTGGATAGACATAGGGCAAGAGACTTAGACTTAGACATAGGGCAAGAGACTTAGACTTAGACGTAGGGCAAGAGACTTAGACATAGGGCAGGAGACTTGTATAACTATAGAGCAAGAGACTTAGATCTAGGGTAGGAGACTTGTATAACTATAGGGCAGGAGACTTGTATAACTATAGGGCAGGAGACTTGTATAACTATAGGGCAGGAGACTTGTATAACTATAGGGCCAGAGACTTAGATCTAGGGCAGGAGACTTAGATCTAGGGCAGGAGACTTGTATAACTATAGGGCAGGAGACTTGTATAACTATAGGGCAGGAGACTTGTATAACTATAGGGCCAGAGACTTAGATCTAGGGTAGGAGACCACCAGTTGATGCATGATGCATTGAGGTCATCCATTTCTGATGTCTACAATAATTTTAAAAGTTGGGCCCCCCCCTCCACACCCGCCTCCTCTTCCCCACATTCATACGCGTCTTCTATGAACACACCTAAACATAAACATATTGATTTTTATATTTTCTGAAGTCTGTTCTTAAATATCAAAAGAATAATCTAGAACAGCGAGTAAACAAAACAAACTGTTTTTTAAGTAAAGTATACGATGAGTACGATTAGCTTTTGTTTTATTTTATTGATTTTTTTTCCTCATATCAAACAAAAACTGATGAAGGGTTTTAAACTTTTCTTTTATCCCAGAAAGAAAAGCTTTTAAAGTACTTTATTATTTGCTGTTGTCATACACAGCATGTAACACACGCTGTAGGTTATAGTACGTATGGTCGCATCAAGTTTCTTCACTTGCGGCTGAGTTATGCACTGGATTTAGATAAGGCGGATGAGTGGCCTGATGAACTAGGTTTTCTTTAAATCAGTAGCGTAGCGAATGGGGGGCGGGGCGGGGGGGGGGGGGGGACATATGTCACCGGGCGCCGACCTTTGGGGGCGCCAAAATGGGATAAAAAAATAAATTGAAAGGTTGAGAGGGTGCAAACGAAAGTTTGAGGGGGGGGGGGGGTGCAAATCGAAATCTCGAGGGGGGGTGCAAATCGAAATCTTGAGGGGGGGGGGGGGGGCACAAATCGAAAAGTTTGTCCCCGGGCGCCGGGAAGGGTCGCTACGCCTCTGCTTTAAATAAAAACCGACACTGTCGTTTACTGCATCATTGCAGATCTATATGCTGGTGACAAATTGTGCATGTTTTAGCATAGACATATTTTGATATTTTAGACTCGTGGACGTCAAAATAGACCGGACCACTACCCCCCTCCAAACCAAAAGTGTCCATAAAAGTCGGACTTTTTCAGAGCTATCCAGTCCTTGGAGACGTCATAAATAGATGACCTATAGGTTTTCGAACTACGTTAAGGCAACGATAGGATTAGGGTTGTATGCTAGGGTTTTGGCTAAGGTTGGGTCAGATCAGGTAGGGGGGGGGGGGGGGGAGTTAGGGCTTGGTATGGGGTATGATTTCAGTTTGGCTCAGGTTTAGATTTGAAGTATCATTTACGGCGATACCAGCTTCACAACTAAGTGGGTGTAGCTAATTGACAAGTACAGATAGTCAATTCAACAAAACATTTTGATACCAGCTACACAACTAGGTGAGTGTAGCTAATTGACAAGTACAGATAGTCAATTCAACAAAACATTTTGATACCAGCTTCACAACTAGGTGGGTGTAGCTAATTGACAAGTACAGATAGTCAATTCAACAAAACATTTTGATAGCGTTGAAAACAAAACCGTTAATTGACGTGACTCAACTCAACGTTCTTTTTTTTAATGTTGAATCACGTGATCCAATATCACTTGACTCAAACCTTATCTGTTGAATCACGTGATCCAAAACAAGGTGACTCAAATTTTTAAAATTGGAATCAAGTGAACTTACACTATGTGGCTCAAATAAAAAAAACCTGTGAATTACGAGGACCCAACACCCCGTGACTCAAACACCTTTAAACCCCGTGACGCTACATCACGTGACTCACATTGTGGCCAGCGTCTTGATGCGGTTGGCCTTGACATACGTCGTGACCAGGTCGAAGCCGGCCCGCTTGGGGGCCCTGCCCTCGTGTTCGATGACGGTGAGCATGTCCCGGGGGTCGCAGATCATCACGGTGGTGCCGAAGGGGAGAACGACCCGGACGATTTTCCCGTAGGGTCTTGTGGAGGTTGATGGCCAACAGGTCAGGGCGAGAGATGGAGTTCTCAGCTGGGGAGAGACGAGAGGTGGGAGTCAGTGACGCCGTGATGGGGAGGGGGGGGAATGTTATGGGAGTCAGTGACGCCGTGATGGGAGGAGGGAGGGCAAGATGTTTGGGAGTCAGTGACGCCGTGGTGGGGAGGGGGGGGGGGGCAAGGTGTTATGGAGTCAGTGACGCCGTGGTGGTGATGGGGGGGGGGTCAAGATGTTGTGGGAGTCAGGGACGGCGTGATGGGGGGGAGGGCAAGATGTTATGGGAGTCAGTGACGCCGTAATGGGGAGGGAAGGGCAAGATGTTGTGTGAGTCCAGTGACGCCGTGATTGGTAGGGGAGGGCAGATGTTATGGGAGTCAGTGACGCCGTAATGGGGAGGGGAGGGCAAGATGTTGTGTGAGTCAGTGACGCCGTGGATTGGTAGGGGAGGGCAAGATGTTATGGGAGTCAGTGACGCCGTAATGGGGAGGGGAGGGCAAGATGTTGTGTGAGTCAGGTGACGCCGTGATTGGTAGGGGAGGGCAAGATGTTATGGGAGTCAGTGACGCCGTAATGGGGAGGGGGAGGCAAGATGTTGTGTGAGTCAGTGACGGCGTGATGGGGGGGAGGGCAAGATGTTATGGGAGTCAGTGACGCCGTAATGGGGGGGTCAAGATGTTGTGGAAGTCAGTGATGGGGGGGGTCAAAGATGTTATGGGAGTCAGTGACGCCGTGATGGATGTCCAAGATGTTATGGGAGTCAGTGATGGGGACAAGATGTTATAGGAGTCAGTGACGCCATCATGGGGGTGTCAAGATGTTCATGGAAGTCAGTGACGCCGTGATGGGGGTCTAAATGTTATGGGAGTCATTCACGAGTGACGCCTGGTAAAAGGATCAAGAAATTCCCTGGATCATTTTAACATCTACCTCTTAGTAAATCGGTGATAGCCAAGGTGTCATTGGAATCATTCCAGTGTGGACGTCAGGAATGTGCTACACGTCACACAAAGGAGGGGGGGATCAAACTCTCGCGTGACGTCACCCCAAGACTATAGTACAATCAATAACACGCAAAGTTTCTTCAAGGCATTTCTTCGGGGGGGGGGGTGGAGGGGGGTGGCGTTAAACGTCTACCGATCCCCGAACGAATGAAATTTATTTAGAAAATAACTACTTTAACCAGTGTCCGCCCCCCCCCCCCCCCCACGGAAATTTTAGTCCGCCCCCCCTCCCCGGAAAAGTTCACGTGACCCACCCCCCTCCCCCGGGAAAATTTCACGTGACCCACCCCCCTCCCCGGGAAAAAAAGTCTGAATGAAACACTGATAACACATGACGCTGTGACCTTGCAAGCTTATTCTAACAATCCCCGCCGTATCGGATTTCTACTTCTGTTTCTACTTGAATAAAATATAACGTCTAATGCTTTCAGTCTGCGTGCATACTTAATGCAGAGGCGAATCACAGAGAAGCAATAAGCTGCCTAATGTTATTGGTTAATGTTTCACATTTAGATGTAGAGAAGTTAACACTAGTCAACTTGACGAATAAAAGTAGAGTTCATTTTTCGAACCTGACGGTCCATGGGGCCAAGGGAAATTGAGTTCACTTGTTTCTGTGACCTCGACATATAAAGGGATAGGTGTGGTCAGCACTATGCCCAGCCGCTTTACTTTCCCTAGCGTGAGTTAGGTACCCATCAGAGCTGGGTAGACTCAATGACGTTGTACTGAATTGAATTCGGATTCGAACCCGAGGCCTTTCGGGCTAGCAACCTAGCGCTGACTGAGTGAACCACACTTACATGTGTAAATTGGTCTTAGAAAAGAAGCGCATGTAAGTTACATGTAAGACCAAATACACATTTCTACGTAAATTTAATTTGCTGTTAAAACGTGTCTACATTTCTATTCTAGATTGTGTGCGGTTGTATGGCAGGTGGAGTAGAGTTAACCTGTTGGTTTAGCTCCTTTTCAGACTTTCGCGCGTCATTTCTTCCAACTAGAGCCGGGTACAACTTAGTGAACAGTGAACTCATCAAGGTACGGGCCTTAAAAAATTTAATTAGACGCCCCATTAATTAGATCTTGTTACGGTTTGACAGACTCATTACAGATTCTGGGTCAAAGTTCAAGTTCGAGTTATACAAGGTTTATGTTTTCATAATTAGATAACGACGCATGGAATGTGACGTTACTTTCATTATCTTGACCATGGGGTGACCGTAACTTTCGACTCATATCCCTAATTAATCCCGACCCGAATCTTAAAATTTAAATTTAATTAATGTTTATCATGTAACTGGTTATATAAGTCTAGCTGCTGACAAAAGTCACACGTCTAAAAAAAATACAATCTGTTAAGTTGTTTTTTTTTTAAACATAAAAAGTACAGCTTTAATTAAAAGTAATTAAAGGGTTAATGAACTGACGACATCCCAGTGGCCATTCACAGGAAGGTTTTGTTTTTTTTAATTAGATTAGCACGCGCTTAATTAAATGTGTTGTGAACGAGTTTATGAAAATGACAAAATCACATTGGCGACTTACTGAGAGGTTTAAAAAGAAACTGTTTTGTTTTTGTTTAATTAGGCACACCTTTTTAATTAATTAACAATATGGTGAATAGGTTTATGAAAATGACATACCGCATTGGCGACTTACTGAAAGGTTTTAAATAGAAACTTGGTCTTTTTTTTAATTAAGCGTAGATTTAATTACCTGTGTAATGACAGTGATAATGAGAATGCAATCATCACTTACTGAAAGGCTTAAACAGAAAGAGTGGCCCAATGACTGGCAGCAGGGCCGGACCACGGGGCCCAGGGATTTCATCGAACTCTTTCACTTTCACGTCTGCTGCGGTAGAGCAGGGGGATGCTGTGGCGGGGCTGGGGCTAGACATGCCGCTAGGGTTGGTGATGCCGTACGGACATTGTTGGTTGGTGGAGGTCTTCTGTCTCACGTGACCACGAAAAGAAATGAAGCGGGCAGCCAGACCTGGTAAAAAGACGAAATATTTATTAATGGGCAGCCAGTAATTATAAAAAGACGAAATATTTATAAGCGAACATCCAGGCCTGGTAAAAAGGATGAGATATTTTATATTTTGTTAGCGGGCAGCCAGAAATGATAAAAAGACGAAATATTTATTAGCGGGCAGTTAGTCTTGGTAAAAAGACGAAATATTTATTAGAGAACATCCAGACCTGTTAGAAAGACGAGATATTTATTAATGGGCAGCCAGTAATTATAAAAAGACGAAATATTTATTAGCGGGCAGTTAGTCTTGGTAAAAAGACGAAATATATATTAGCGAACAGTCAGACTTGTTAAAAAGATAAACTATTTTATTTAGCGTACATCCAGACCTGGTAAAAAGACGAGATATTTTATATTTTATGAGCGGGCAGATATTTTATGAGCGGGCAGCCAGTAAAATGATAAAATTAAAAATGACGAAATATTTATTAGCGAGCAGCCAGATCTAGTAAAAAGACGAAATATTTAATAGCAAACAGTCAGACTTGTTAAAAAGACGAGCTATTTTATTTAGCGAACATCTAGACCTGGTAAAAAGACGAAATATTTATTAGCAAACAGTCAGAACTATTAATAAAAAGACGATATATTTATTAGCAGACAGTCCTGGTAAAAAGACGAGCTAAGAATCAGTCGTCTCATGTTGCGAATCTTGTCTTCCTTGTCCTCATCAAACTGTATTTTATTCACGGTATTAACTTTGTGTATGTAACAAATTATTGGTCGATAATGTTTTATATAACCATGTTCATGTTATAAATTTGGTAATCATTTCCGTTGTAAAATTTTGGTCCGATCTACACTTTATATGATAAAATTTTTAAAAGGGTAAATTTGAAAAATAGAAATATTGAAGACCAGCGGAAGTCACTCTGCTATAGTTAGAAACATGCAGAGTTTCTTCCAGGCATCTCTCCCTCCTCCCCCCCCCCCCCCCCCCGAATTTTTTTTACCGCCTCCCCCCCCCCCCCCCAACCCCCCCCCCCCCCCCCCGAACGAAATGAAATGTATATAATTTATATAGAAAATATCTACTTTTAACAGTGTCCGCCCCCCCCCCCCCCGAAGAACGAAGAAAGTCTACTGCCCACCCACCCACCCCCCCCCCCCCCGAAAATTTCAAGTGCCCCCCCCCCCCCCCGGAGAAAAAAGTCTGGAAGAAACACTGGAAACATGACTTGCAGAATTGGCTTGTGAATACGGTGGGGTGGGGGATGGGTGGGGGGGGGGAGACGAAAGGAATGTGCGCCCCATTCAGCTCGGTTCGTGCACTTAAAAATGTCGACTTGATCTCCAGTCTGCCACCTCTCTACCTCTATTTATGTAAATGTATATATAGATATTTAATTCATTCCCTGCCCGTCACCCCTGCTTGGGTATGGGCCGTCAACAAAACATCCTCTGGGTCCTCTGTATTCGGCCATTTTCTCAAAGTGACACCAGGTGTAACCCATCTTTTGGTGTCCGCCTCAAGGTCGCGTCTAGTGTTTCTTGATCAACCCAATTGACGTTTCCTCTGTGAGTTCTACTTCAGAAGTGTAGCGAAGGGGGGCGGGTGCTGGGGTACAGATTATGTCCCCGGGCGCAGACACTTGGGGCGCCAAAATGGGTCGGGGGAAAAATTAAAAGCTCATTTTAGCTGCAGTTTTGAATTATAAATATAAAAAAAATATAAGGGTGGGGTGCGCCAAATTGAAAGTTTGTCCCCGGGAGGGGTCGCTACGTCTCTGTTCTTCTTTAGTCCATGTACTAGTGGATGGTTTGCGTAGGGTGCGTCCTATCCAACCCCCATCAGCGGAAAATTATCCAGTTCTGTTCTAGACTACCGCGGCGCTGTTTGTGTCGGATTATCCGTCAACGCACTGACGTGTGTAGATTCCCCTCAGCTCCGTATCAGACCTGTGGGAAGCGTCATGTATTAAGCTGTCCAAAATGTAAAACTCGGTAGGATCTCCACGTCACAGTACAGTGTTGTTGTTTTTTTTTTTCCTTCGTTTTTCTTTCCTCCAGTGCAACAAAACGTGCATTAATAATGCATTGAGGTTATCGGAATTTTCCTCCAACGATGTCCACCACCTTACTGCTCCCTACCCACAAGAGCCTTCCATTGATATTGTAATATTTTATTTCGTAACATGATGGTTTTTCTACAAGCATGCAATTTTCTACCGCATAAATGAAAGGACGCAGCTGTCTCAATACGCGACACGCGACAAACGTAATGAATGAAAAAAAGAATACCAGTAGTTGTTTTTTCTTTAGATGTTTAGTAATCAAATAACCTGTACTTCAGTCGGGTTTCGGCCAACCTTGACTTGTCCAAACTCAAATTATATTTTCCTTTTATGTAACGCCCACGCACGGTCTGCCATTGTGCTGTATGTTATGTATGCAGACCTCACAAGAATGCTGACGTGTATATTATGTATACAGATCTCACTAAAATGCTAAGTGTATATTATGTATACAGCTCTCATAATAATGCTGACGTCTATATTATGTATACAGCTCTCACTAGAATGCTGACGTGTATATTATGTATGCAGACCTCACTAAAATGCAAAGTGAATATTATGGCAATAGAATGCAAAGTGAATATTATGTATACAGATCTCTCTAGAATGCTGAGGTCTTTAGATATTTAATTACATACGGGCCCATGTTCCATAACTTGCTGTTCCTTTGTGCCTTTAAATAATTCCGCTGTGAGTCAGCCGCTCAAACTGCGGGGGCGGATGATGCTGACTACACCAGCTGACGCCATCCAAGCAGGTGACACCAAAACGAAATTTTGCTAATTATAATTGAGAACGTCTTATTTTTTCCAGTTACTTTAATAATTTGTTAAAATTATATATTTGGCACAGTACAGGGGTCGGCGAGGTCGAGTCGATCAAGCTGATGGTTGTTAAACCGAAAAGTCTCGAGTTCGAACCCTCGGATAGATGAGGCTCGTTAGCTGGGGACAGCCACTCTTCTAGGAGAGACAACTACAAAATCAAACAACTGCTGCCTTGTAGTTTGTTCTTGGTTGGACAAAGGCTATGGAAGCAAATCCAAAAAGAAAAGCAGGCTGAAATCGGAGTCAATGGCCTCAATGGCGCTTAACCAGTTGACACGTATCCTTAATTGTGATGGAGGCGTGGTCGAGTCGGCAAAAGCTCATTGTTGATAAATTCGAAAAAAAAAAGTCTGGAGTTCAAGCCCTCTGGCAGATAAGGCTCGATCACTTCCGACAAGAACGAAGAAGAAGGCACAGTACGACATAATCGGGACATGGCGTGGCTCTAAATTCCCTATAGTTGTAGTACGTCATTGATACCGTAGTTGGTTTAGGGGGTGGCACCCTGGGCTACAACATGGGATGTCGCCCGACCTAGCGACCCCAGTGTAAGCATTAGTAAGTATATTGTAAAGTTTCTCTTTAGACCAAGCGATCCATTGAGCAGATGAAGTAGAATTCATATGTTATTATTAACACTTAGGAAAAAAAAATAGAAAAAAAGGATTTTTCATTTTCATTAACACTCAGGAAAAAAAATTCCAAATAAAATGTAATTGTTAAAATAAATAGTTTTCAAAAACAATATTAAATTACGTTATTTATTTAACTTTAAAAAACCTACTTGAACTAATTGCTGGTGTTGTATAATATTTTTTCGCGTATTTCCTGTCATTTCACGCTTCTCGCGGTGTCTGTAATCAGGCTCAGGGGATGTAGCACTAGAGTTCGGGCCCAAAGAACGCCAGGGAAACGGTGCCATGGCACGAGCAGCGATCTGGTGCATGCCATTCATACGGCTGTGCTGGCGCTATTGGATTTAACTAGACTACCGGTAATCAGTTCAGTGTTAATGGGTTCACTTAATGAAGATAACGCAACAATAGAAATGTAGAGTTTGTTTAGAAAATAATACTTTTTATTCTTTTATCGATTTTCGAATGCAATTCTTCTACACACATTTTTCTTCATTTATCGAAATTTAAATTTTAAAAAAAAAATAATTTTTTTGAAAAACATCGTGGGGGCGTTGGGATGTTCATTTTAAATAGCTAGGGAAAAAAGATTTGTATCTATGCATAATTTGTATGAATAATTCAAGATACAGAGCCTTTGTGGAAAGAGCGGCTCGACAGAAATACATAGAAACTCTGTAGGTTTTGAATATAAGGTTGAGACCGCCATAGAATAAATAACGAAGTTTAGCCGGGTATATGCCTATATGGACGGGCGGTAACTTAACACAATTGTAGACAAAACAATGGGGTACTGTATTCTCAGTACATAACAATGAAAATTGTCCGGCTTTTGAGGCGGGATGCCCTGGGCTGTTGAACGTATTTGTTACCAGAAAAATCTGGAGGATTTAGGGCCGTCCCATTTTCTACGCTCTGTTTGGTCTAGTTCTGGTAAAGGTTCTCACGATGAAATGTAACGGGTATTCGTTTTTCATAGGACAAGGTCTTGATTCTAATACCAGTCAGCTTCCTCGTTATGTAGGAAACATAGAGTTAGACTTAGAACTGTTCCTAGTCCTGGTCCTAGTCCTATTCCTGATCCTGATTGGTCCTGGTCCTAGTCCTGGTCCTAGTTCTGATCCTGGTCCTAGTCCTATTTTTTATCCTGATTGGCCCTAGTCCTGGTCCTATTCCTGATCCTGATTGGTCTTGGTCCTAGTCCTAGTCCTGGTCTTAGTCCTAGTCCTAGTCCTGGTCCTGATTGGTCCTAGTGCTGGTCCTAGTGCTGGTCCTAGTCCTGGTCCTAGTCCTGGTCATGATTGGTCCTAGTCCTGGTCCTAGTCCTAGTCCCAGTCCTGATTGTACCTGGTCCTAGTCATGGTCCTAGTCCTGGTCCTGATTGGTCCTAGTTCTGGTCCTGATTGGTCCTAGTGCTGGTCCTAGTCCTGGTCCTAGTCCTATTCCTGATCCTGATTGGTCTTGGTCCTAGTCCTGGTCCT